GATGACAATGCGACACGGTCAGGATTTACTTATGGAAAGGGTCAAGGACACGGTTGAGAGTTCGCGGCAAACCGCCACAACGCGTGAACATCAGAAGAGCCATCCAGCTCGAATCACGCGACCCTCAAAATGATCAAGTATAAATATTCTCAGCGTGGGAGGGCCAACGCTTCAAGCACAAGCAGTTCGCTCGCCGTTCCGAGTCCCATTTATCTTTTGTCTTCATGCTATCGGTCCCTTTCACACATGACGCGATTCGACTGCGCCAGCCCTAAACCCACCCATGGGTCAATAAATTGACCCATGACCCACCCAACCCCACTGCATGCGCTGCAACGATTTGCGTCGACACGACGAGTGTGGAATCCCATCGACTTGTATTCATCATAGCTAGTCATCCAGTCGGTACGGCGCGCTACCACCCACCGTGCCAGTGGCCGCCACGACCATGCCAGTGGCCACCGCCACCACCACCATGCCAATGGCCGCCACCGCCGTGCCAGTGACCACCACCGCCACCGCCATGCCAATGACCGCCACCACCGTGCCAGTGCTCGTCCATCGTGTCGGGATATCCTTGTCCGCGGTAGTCTTCGTAGTCCATTTCCATGTCACGGGGCATCGGTGCTGCGTTCTTTGGAAGCGTGCTTTCAGCAGGCTTATCCTTGGCAGCAGGCACCGAGTCGGCGGCCATCGTCATTGCGGCAAGCGCGAGAAGCGTCGAGAGCGTGATCTTCATGGCAGAGCGCGAATTGAAATCTGAGTTTGTTAATGTCGTAGCGGCACGCGGGTCGTTTCCTATCGCACATTCGCGTGCGGTGTGCTTGAGGCAATGAGACTTGTGACGGGTTGTGACACAAGGTCCGAATGGCTTTTCGTTCCGGTAGCGCTTATGGCGTCGGCAGTACGACGCTCTCTCGGATGAATAGTAGACACCCTATCGAAACCGGAGTTCGCCCATGAGGGCTTTGCATGCATACGTATCTCGGCACCGCTTCATTCTCGTTTGAAACAAATTGGGACGACCGACTGTCAATAGACTGGGATATATACCAAGCAAAACAATGTACTAGTACAGGGATGGTCTTCATTATACTGTGCTTTCCACTTATAATAGTTCAGAATGATCGCCAGAAAGACTCCATAACAGCGACAACATTAGAGATCGCAATTCTATCCGAGTCATTTACGCCCGCGGTACACGACGCCCGGTGCCCGAGAGACCGCGAGCAAGCATCGCGATGCCAGTGGTTACCGCTAGCGCACCCACAGCAGTCAAAACACACGTCACAAAGGCATCAACGGACGCCTTCACTGCACTTGCCATGACGGAAGC